CCCTCGTGTCCCCCAGCCCTCCAGTCTCCGGGACTAAAAATCAATCCCGGAGCTCGAGCTCCAGGGGCTGCACATCTGGGCTGCACATCTGGCTCTGCATGGCACAGCTGGGGTGCCAGGACGCAGGCAGGGACGTCTGGCCCCCGTGCCGCGCCCCCTTGGCTTCTCGGGCCCTCGCCCCGGCTCTTGTACCATTTCTTGTGACTTTTGGTGACCAGGGTCTAGCGCTTTCCGAACTCTCCGCGCCGCTCCTTTCCTAGAGCCGCGGCTGTTCCTCCTGCCCTGGGCCTCCGCCCCCACTTTCCAAGCGCTTTATTACGTTATTGCTTCTGCTCTGGCCTCTCCAGTGCTCCTTGACCCTGCACCCGTGCCTGGTGCCAGTCCCTAAGCCCTTGTCTGCGATCCTACTTCTAAGCCCTCACCCATCTCTGGATCGTGATCTCTGGGGCCGAGCTGGGACGCAGGACTCCGTGAGTTCCGGATCCCATCTCTCCCCACCTTCCCGTACTTTCCCATCAGAAAGACTCAGGCCACGCTGACCGAGCCGCGTGAGGGACGGCAGAAGTCATTAGCTGCGGATCAGGCGTGGCCTGGGGCGTGCGGGGGTCCCGTGGGGACCAGATTCCAAACGCTAAATCGCACCGGGACACTAATCGGCGCGCTGGCGGCGCCGCTCGTCAAAAGCAGCTGTGCTGGGCGGAGCAAGCTGGCTGCCGGGGTTGTGGGCGCGGGCGCCCCCTGGAGGTTGAGCTGCTCCCAAGCTCTTAGGGGAGATGCCTCGGGCGCCCCCTGTCGAGTCGTGCAGGCTCTGCGCCCCACAGTTTTGGGCAGGTTAAGTCAGTGCCTGGAGCGTCGGTCCAAGCCCCGCCTGCCGTACCTGCCACTCCCGCCACCAAGGCACTGGGTCCCGCAGCTTCCCTTCTTCTGGTTTGAGGTGGGGCCGGGGGCAAGCGCGGAGAGGGGACGAGGGATCTGCCACCTCGCCAGCTGTGGGAGGCACCACAGGTGCAGGCTGGTCCCTCTCCCGGGGCTGGGTCTCTACCCTAAGACTGCCCTCTGCCCCTGCCTGCCCTAGTCTCTGGCTGCCCTTCTTTCTGCTTCTTTCTTCTTCCGGCCCTGGCTGTCTACCTCGGTCTCTCTGTGTCTGTCTGTGTCTCTGTTCCTTATCATTCTGGCCGTGTCTGTCTCTCCCTCTGCGACCCTCTCTACCAGGCTTTGTCCCTCTGCATCTGTTTCTGTGTCTCTCTGTGTTTGTCTCTCCTTCCCTCTACATCTCTCTACCCTCTGTGTCTCTCTTTACAAATGCCTGTCTCTGTCTTTATCTCGTTCTCCCCCCTCCCATCCCCCAGTTCTATTCCTATTCCCCAGCTTGCTGCCCCTGGGGGGCTGCAGCAGTCCGACAAGACCAGCCTGGGGACACCTCAGGGCACTGCCCCGGGTCCACTTCCCGGTCACCTCCACATGCCCATCACCTCGGCGCGGACTCCGTCTTCCCTCTGCAGCCGTGGGGCGTGGAGGGGGCGCCCGGGAGGGAAGACACAGTGCCCAGCATCTGCTCGGGAGCCCCGGAGCCCCTGACCCCCTCTGCAGCTATTAAGGGCGCCGGGTCCCGAGGCTCCGAGAGATGATCATGATTGCATCAGCCAGACAGCCGCGGAGCTGGGAGCCGCGGGGCGAGCGAACGAGCGAGACAAAGACGCCCGCGCCATCTGTTTATGCAAAGCACTCTCCGCCGGGGACCCCGGCGTCCCGGGGCCTGGCCCGGCTCGGGGCACGGGGTCAGGAGCCTGCTCCCGCCCGGCGCCCCCGCCGCGCCGCGGCTCCCCACTCCCCAGCACCCAGAGGGGCTGCGGGGCGAGCTGAACGGAGGGGGGCGGGGGGTGTTGATGTGATTGGAGCGGACGCGGCTGTTTCTTCAATAATGGATGGAGATGATGCGGACGGCGGAGCCAAGCCCGCCCGGAGAGGAGAGAGGAATAGAAATAGGGAGAAGGGGCGGGTGCGGGAGACTCACCCAGGCGCTCACGCGCGCGCGCTCACACACACACACACGCACACACGAGCGCGCGTGCGTCACACTGTCATTCGGATACACGCTGTCGCGCGGCTCACACCCGGGCACACGCCCCCGCACTGTCACGGAGATACACCCACCTGCAGGCAGAGACGCCAGAGCAACACACACTCACCGGCGGCTCTTCGTGATTCTCACACGTACACAGTCCTGCAGGCAAGACACGCGGAAATGCCCACACTCGGGGCACACCCAGGCATGAAGATTGTACAGACACATAGACACGCCAAAGCACGTATGCTCACCTAGACCCTCAGGGGCTAAGCCAGACAAAAATCATAGAGGTGGGGGGGGCAGAATGGGGACAAGTCCGACCAATACATACGTAAGGGCACAGACACACACCGGGGCACACATACCAACTTACACTAACACCTGGTGCTCTGTTATACACACTTCACACACTTGGGGCACAGGCGCACACAAACACACACCAGAGGCACAGACACCCATAATCTCCAGGGACACAGAGGGACCCCCCCCCAACCCCCACACATTCAGAGGTTCGCACCCACACACATGCAGGAGCTGCTGTCTGCGCTCTCCGGTGGTGGAGTGTGGCAGAGAGGTTGCTGGGGTTCTAGAAGCAGGCCTTGTTAGCCTAGCCACATAATGAGGTCTTAGTGACAGGAGGTGCCTGGGGCTGTGGACCCTGCTCCCCTGCTTGACTGCCTGCTAGCTTCCTTCCTTGGCCCCCAGGGTGGGTGGTGCAGACCCTGGGCCACTCTGACAACAGCCAAGCCAGCTGGTCCCAACCCCAGCATGTGGGGAGGGGTGAGGAGCCACAGAGGGACATTGGTGGCTGCATAGGGACTGCCAGGATTGCCCACACAGCCATGAGGCAGGTGTGGAAAGGACAGTCACTCTGGATTCTCCCTCATTCCCCTGTGCTGTCCAATCTTCCCACTTGTAAGGGGTACTTTCTTTGCTAAGAGCGGAGTGGGCACTGCAGAGGGGTAGGGTGCAGGTTGTGTCCTGGACCGGGTAACCTGGCTCCTCCTCCAGTCTGTTTTCAATTCAGTCCGTTCCTTGGCTCAGACTTATGACCTTTGCTGCATGTGGCAACATCATCCATCACCTAGGCGGCCGTTTGTGGGAGTGAGGGGCGTTGAGGGCTCACACAGGGGCGCTGACGCTCCTGCCTCCTTTATGAGTCCTGCTCTCCGCTGGCAGGCCTGGGCTCAACCCGCGGGCAAGTACTGGGGGGAGGGCGCTGATCATGGGGCTCAATCGCGATACTGGGCCCGTGTCCCCATCCCCGGCACCCCAAGCACCGGTCCTTCCAGCTTGGCACAGCCGGCCTCCCCGCTCCTCCCGCCCTCCCTCTCTCGGGCCCTTCGCTTAATTTCCTATTAACTGCTGATAAATCCAATTAAACCGCCGCTCTAATTAGGGACAGCTGCCGGCTCCGCGAGGCGGGGGGGAGCGGGGTGCCCCCCGAGTGTAGAGGGGGGAGAACAGCAGCTCTCTCTGCTTCTCGGCACCCCCACACCAGCATCGCCGCCCAATGAGCCAGTAAATTGGTTTTGCTTTTGCATTGTGGGGGGGCCCTCTCGAGGATCTCAGGGGCTCTGGTTTGGAGTCCCTCAGATCTCTTGATGAAGAGATGCGACCCGAGTCCTAGCATCCCCGCACCGGGCCTCCGACCACCCCCCCACCACCACGCCTTTCTTAGTAGGCATATCCCGAGGAGGGATGGGGGCAAAAGGCTGGATTTGTGTGTGGTGGTGGAGGGGGACTGCTTGTGATCGGCTCCTATTCCAGCCCAAGCGTGATTACAGGGGGGCCGCCTGAGGCTTCCTTTATGACCCCGCCGCCGCCCCCAGGCGTCCGGGACAGTCAAGGGCAAAGGGAACAGGAAACCGAACCCGGTTCCGCATTGGGTTTTCCTGTGTGCTTTCCTACCCCCTCCACACTTCAGCCTTCTGGAAGGAAGGGGGGCGCGTCCGTCCCGGGCCCTTCTCTTCCCCAGCCCAGCTGAGCCTCTGCCCTCCCCCCATCAGCAGCAGATGGTGCCCGGGCTCCCGCTGCCAACCTTGCTAGGCGGTGCCAACCTCAGGCCTGGCAGACAACGGGCAGAAGAGGATCTCCTGACTGGCGGGGCTGACCCTCCCCCATCCGCCATCAAGCTCCAGACCCTCGGCCTGCCCTACTCCAGGGACCACCCCAGGCTGCCTCTCACTGGTCCGCTCCCAGGTCCCCAAACTCCTCGTATCCTTCAGCTCCCTTCCCCACACCTTCCCGCTCCCCGCCACCTGCCACCGTGACCAGGGCCGGCATATTTGCATATTTGCATATGCAAACAATAACATTTGCATACGGCGCGCCGCAGGGGGGTCTCCGCGTGAGCCGGTTTGCTGTCTGCCCAGCGCCCTCTCGGTACCTGTCGCAAAGGGCTGGGGCGGGGGCCGTGCGGGAGGGGTTAGGCCCCCCGGCCTCGCTCGCTGGTTCCCAGAGGACTTGAGGAAGTGTTGCCATGGAGACGGCACGCACCTCACCCCCTCCCAGGCCCAGGGTCTCCCGCACGGTGTCTCAGGTTCTCTCCTTCCGCCCCCCCCTTCCCCCCGCCCCGTCCCTCGCTCTCCAACCGAGATCTTGCATCGCCCCCTGGCGGCCTAGCTCGGCACTGAGCCAGGTTCCGAAATGTAAGGGGGGCTGCTCGCGGCTAAATCGCCAAGAGCTAGGGGGACCTACTCTGGTGCCAGGTCCTTCTAGACGCCGGGGCGCGGGGGCCTGACTGCAGTCAGGCTCCCCTTTCTTCACTGACAACAGAGGCCTCGCCTGGCGGACGCACCTGTCTCCTCACCTCCCACCGGCCTCAGCCCAGGTGGATGTCGGGTTACCTGATGCTAGTGAGGTGACATAGCTGGGGAGGATTCTCCACCGCTTCCCTCTACTCGGCCCCTAGTTAAAGAACAAACTTTTCTAACTTTTTTCAAAACTTTAATACATTCGCAGCGTTCGACAGTTCGCCTCCCACACCCCCGGGGCGCCTCCTAGTGGGGACGCGTTCTTTTTCCAGCTCCCGCGGGCTGGGCCTGAGGAGTTGCAGGTGAGGCTGCTCTGCCTAGCAGGTATCCAAGGCCCGAGGCCGGGGGAGGGGGGCGGGAACCAGTCCCTTCCCGGAAGCCCCGCCATGCTCCGCCGGGCCTTCCCACCCCTCCCCCATCCAGCATAGTTGCTTTCGCCCCTTTCCTCCCCAACCTCCACTGGGCCTGCCCAGAATGGGGCATGGGTATCTCCCGTCAGCAGGCGCCTGCACGCCTAAATCTCCTCCAGGAAGTCGGTGGGGAACAGCCCCACCTTGCGGCCGGTGTAGACCTTGACGTAGCCGCCGGCTTCATCTCCTTTCTGGACCACGATCTGAATGAAGGATTAAAGGTTTAGGTAGGAGAGGGATTAAGGGAAAAGGTAGAAGAGGAGAGCAGGGGAGCCCGGATTCATGGAGGTCTATCCTAGCCCCATTAATGAGTTAAGATCTGCAAGGAGTATGGTTTGCCGAGGAACCCTGGGGCCTGGGATTGGATTGGGGCGCCAGAGCTACCTGGTCCTTTATCTATCTATCTATCTATCTATCTATCTATCTATCTATCTATCTATCTATCTATCATCTATCTATATTTATTTTATATATTTTAAAGATTTTATTTATTTATTTTAGAGAAAGAGAACACAAGCAGGAAGGGCAGAGGGAGAGAGAGAAAGAATCTCAGGTGACTCCACCCTAAGCACAGAGTCCACGCAGGGCTCAATCTTCCCACCCTGAGATCACGAGCTGAGAAACCTAGAGGCGGTTGCTGAACCCACTGTGCCACCCAGGCACCCCTACCTGGTCCTTCTTGAGAGTGATCTGCCCTATTTCGCGGTTTCCCACGAAGGATCTGGTCACACGGTGCACACGCTCTCCAGACCGGACCCGAATGATGAAGTTTGGAGGGAAAAATCCAACCTTCTCCCCTATTTTCCCCTGGAGGAGATGGTAGGGAGAATCAGTCTCAGTCTGATTCTAAAGTCAAATGATGTCCCACCCTAGCCTCAGCCATTTCTCTTACCCGCCACCACTCCTCATTGGAGTCATCAATGACTGTGATCTTCTCTCCAGGCCTGGGAGAGGAAGGGAGAGGCCTCTGAGATTTAGGGGGCTTACTTACCTATCTGGCCCAGGTCCAGCCCCAACAGGCTCCAAGCCATGAGTGCCCCCTTTTCCTTTCCCATAGGGAGCCAGGCTCTCCCCTCTCCACTCCCGGTACACCCCCATCCCAGTCCTAAGGCCTCTCACGGGAAATCCAGATCGTCCTTCTCCAGGGCTTTGAACCGATACAGAGCCACAAAGTAATGAGACTGCTGGAAGCCAGGCTGCTTGTGCTGGGGGTGAAAGGAGGTGATGAGTCTCGGACTCCTCTGTCCCACATTGAGGGGCAGGAGTCCAAGGCAGGGGCATTCTCCAGACATACTACATTACAGCTCTCTTCCAGGTCCCTGAACTAAGAGGATTCTGTTGCGTGCATGCATGCTCACGCACATGTGTGTGAGGTGGTGGAGAAGGCAGGTTAAGGGTGATGGGAAGTCATGGAGTAAGTGTGAGCTTCTGCTGAGGCCATGAGTGGTGTCAGACCTGGGTTGGGGAGAGGACTGGGGTCCCTGCAGGGAGAAAAGAGTCTCACTTTGTCATCAGGTGTCTTCTTTTCAGCCTTCTTATTCCCTTCAGGGTTTCCTGGGATGGGAAACACCGACAAGTTGTCTCTAGCTTCTGGAGGGTAGCCCTCATTCTTTTACTCTTCTGTTGCAGAGCCTCTTTGATCTCCAAACCTGGCATGCCCTTTGGCCCTCCATCCCCTGTACCACAGCAGAGTCCCTGACCCTACTCCCTCTCTAGGGATGGAGGTGGGTGACACTCACCATCCTGGGGTTTGCCTTCCTCTGGTCTGGCAGACTCTGGCTCTTCTTCCATCATGGCTGCTAGAGGCTGGAGGGGGTACCAGAGTTAGGAAGATGCTCTCCTGGGAACCCACACTTGCCCTGGCTCTCCAGCCAGGCCAGCCAACTACAGAATAATAGGATCTCAGGTTTGGAAGAAGCCTTGGAGGAAATACCTAGTTCAACCACCAGCCTAATGCCTGAGCTTCCTGTAAAACATCCTGGCAGGTGGACCATCCACATTTGTGCTTGAATGTAGCTAATGACAAGAAACTCACTACCTTACAAAGTAAGCCCATGCCATTTGAGGGCAATTCCCTAAATTAAACCTATTCGGTCTCCCTGTAACTTTTAGTAATTGGTCCTGAATTGGCCTCTGGAGCAATATAGAACAAACATAGTCCCCTTAAAGATCTGAGGATAGCTGGTAAGTCCCTCCTGTCTTTTCTTCCTTAATTAATCCCTTTAAATCACTCCCTTCCCCATGATGCCGATTCCAGGATTTTTACTACATCTGTTCTTAAAAATACTCTAGTGTGTAAGAGAAAAATGGGCAGCACAGTTTTTATAATTCCCTTAAGAGAATAGAACCTGAGTGTGCTTGCCTTTCTGGAAGCAGTCAAATCACATGGCTATGGCCTTGTAAATCATAGTTCATTCTACAGAAATCTCTTAATTTGCACCCAACCTCCATATCAACTACTCTGAGGCCAATCCCTAGTTCTGTTTTTGTATGGTTGATATTTTTGATCCAAGAACAGACATGTACATTTTTCCTTACAAAATTTCAAATTATTGGTTTTGGGCTTTTCTTCTAGTCCATAAGATATCTGAATATACTGTTCAGTGTATAAGTTTTCCTTCCTAGGTTTACCACAAACTTAAGGGATAATACCATTTATATTTTCATTTGCATCCGTGAGAAAAATCTCCATAGGTGAGGACCGAGGACCAAATCATGTTATAAGGTATCAGAAATCTCCCTCGAGCTAGACACTCCCTACAGGACCTGGATCCTTTGGGCACAGTCATTCATCCAATTTTAGGACTCCACCTAACTGTTAATCATATCAGTCCATCCTGGTGGTCCAGAAAGATATAAGGATATGCTAACAAATTCTTTGCCAAACTGAATGCAAGTCTATGATATTACCAATCTAGTAACTCTATTTCAAAAAGAAATGAAGTTGCTTTTGGCCGCTAGTCTGGGGCCTCAGTTTCCTCATCTATAGGATAAATGAGTTAGACTAGATGATATTCATGGACCCTTCATGGCTCTAGAATTCTGATTACTTGGCATGATAGGTTTGCTTCCCCAAATCCAAAAGTATGGCTCTTGCCTCTGTTGTCCAGCAATGCCGGGGGCCTGGGACCCAGACCTCAGTGGGGTATGGTACTTAATCTGACAATTCCAGAAGGGAGTTTCTGAAGAAAATACATGCTATGGCGGGAGTTCTCAACCTGAGGCCCTCTAATATTGCATGCAAAAATGTGTCTGTTGGGTTATGTGCGATTTTAGGGGAAGAGAATCCCTAGCTTCTAACAGTTTTCCAGAGAGGAGACAGGACCCACTGCTCAATGGAATTTCTCGGAGGGACCTCAGGAGGAAAATATGGTGCTCACATTTTTCTTATCTGCCTGGCCCTTCTTCCGTTCCTTGTTTGCCATGATCACCCCAGTGCGCAGGGTTTCAAACACAGGATCATTGTGATTGGCAGCAGCTAGTGGGAATGGGAAGAAGAAAGAAGCCATTACTGGGGAAGCAGAGAAAGAGCTGGAGGAAAGAGAGACCTAAGTAAGGGAGAGGTGGGATCGAGTAGATGGATACGTGCGCACGCGCGCGCGTGTGTGTGTGTGTGTGTGTGTGTGTGTGTGTAATTAGGGTAGGGTCAGCTGGGCCTATCTAGGTCATCAATCTATAAAGAGCTCTAAAAACATCACTGGAAATGTAATGTGATGGAGAAAAATACCAGCACTGCTTCCAGGCAGAGCATTTTATGATGTTGGAAAGACAACCTTGCTACTAAGTTGCTTGGGAGTTGGGGGATGCTCACAATCACTATTCTCCTTCTAGGGAGAGTGGTCCTTTAACTGCTGGCTTTTTTGTTCCACTGAGTGGCATGTGCAAGCTGGGGTGCTGCCACCAGTGGGTTCTTCCTTTTTCCACCCATGCTCCTCATAAAGTTCAGCCTCTCCTCCAAATAAGTGTTGAGTAAATTGTCAACGAATTTGTAAGGGTTGCCGAATTATGAATCTGCCCAGGAAGCCCACAGCTCTTGGTCTAGCCCTGAGACTAGTATTACTCTGTAACAAGGAGGAGGACAGTCAAGAATCCTTGTTCTTGCTTAGAAATAGTTTTACAGAGGAAGAGCCCAGATTTTGAAGCTAGGCAGATGAAGGTTTCAGTCTTGTCTCGGTCTCCTGTTAGACATACAGAGCCCTTGCTAAATCTTATCTTCCTCAGCTATTAAAACAGGAATATTGACTCTGTATTCAAATTGGCTAAAATATTAGGTTTAGAGAGAACCATGGGAAACAGAATCTTTCTGTTTCAGAATTTAGCTTCCAAATCTAGAGGTGGTGCTGGAACCATCTCTAGGCTTGCCCTTTCCCTTGGGTCCCACATGGAGCACTTACAGAGATCTTTGACACAAGCGTACTGCTGGTTGCTGTAGAGTGGGGAGCTATAGGCCCGATGGAAACCAGGGGGCTGTAGGATGGGATGGGAGAAAGCATTAGAGACAGCAAGGTATGGCCCAGAACCCCATCTCTCCCATGAGTGCAGCCCCTTCTTAGAGTAAGAGATGGGCTGAGAAAGAAAAAGCAGGGAAATGGAAGTGATGACTTGGGAGGGACTGGAAGGGGGGTGCTGGCAACACGTCCCCTCCCTTCTACTTTCTCGCTTCCCAGAGCCTACTCACGATCTTGCCGAAGCATCTCTGCATCTCCACATAGGACTGACAGTGTTCATGGATGTTAGTTTTGCAGTTCTTACAGCGGAGCCCAAATTTGTTGTTGACTTGGGAGAGGGAAGAACATTTGGGTGAGGTTCTTGATTTCCCCTTCCCTTTGTACCAGTGCTGCTACTCTAGCTCTCAGGTCCCTTTTCTGTCTAGGACCCAACACTCTCAGTTTCTAATAGTGTTGTTTTTATTTTTTAAAGATTATCTATTTGAGAGAGAGAGTGCACAAGCAGGGAAGGAACAGAGGGAGAGGGACAAGCAGTTCCCTGCTGAGCACAGAGCCCTATGGGCTCGAACTCAAGACCCTGAGATTGCAACCTGAGCTGAAATCAAGAGTCGGATGCTTAAATGACTGAGCCCCCCAGGCGCCCCTCTAATAGTGTTTTCTTAAAGCCACCTCTTGCCCCAGCCTGCCTGCTATACAAATGCTCCTCTCCTGAGCCTGTACCCCCCAACCCCCCCCCCCCCCGCCTCCAACATCACACTCTCTCCACTTCCCTTCGTGACTCACGCACAATCATCCGGGCACAGACATCACAGAACTTGGGCTTCTTGAAGAAATGATCTTTGAATTTGTGAGGCTTGTCATTGACAAGCTTAGGAGGTTCTGGGGGTGGTTCCTCCTCCTCCTCCTCTTCTTCCTCCTCTTCCTCATAGATGTAGTAGATGGGCCCACCCCCAGATCCCACTGCCTCCCCATTGGCCTGGGGCTCTGGGGGAAGCTCCATCTCCTTTGTCCCCGGAGGCTCCTTCCTGAATAACTGCTTCAGCCGCTGTAGCTGAGGGCGGGGATGGGGGAGGGGAGGAAACCCAAAGTTAAAAGAACTGTCATGCTCTCTACAGCAGGTAAGGCTGAAGCTAACTAAACATTTTTCTAGCGTGGGCAAGGGGCACACCCCAGGATTAGGAGATATTGGGGGCTGCAGGTGCTGGCTAGCATTCCGACGATGGATGAGTCACATACAAGTGAGATCAATTCAAACATTCAAGGGCTGCGGTGGCTTCCCAGCTCCCCACACCGGTGATCACAGGCCCAGACTCACCCTACTTTGCCGAGTCTTTGCTGGCAAGGAGGGCTTAGGGGACTCCAGCACCTCCTTTTCTGTCATCCTGCAAGAGGTTGGACCCCACTATGAAATCTAATCCCTGACTGCCATTCTTCCCTGTCCCTGTCCCTGTCCTAATTCCTGTCCCTCACCGTAGGGTGGTCCTTGAATGGGAGACTTTGGGAGAAATTTGGTTAAACAGAAATCCTTTCACAGGCTTATTGACAGAAAGATTCCATGGAGGTCCAGAGAAAAGCACAACAGACCAAAGAACTTCCCAACTGGTTCCTCAAACTGATGCACATCCTTCCCTGCCCTATGGGGCCACCCGAGTTTCCAGCCCCAACACAGTGCTCAAAGCTGCATGGTTTAGGGATTTTCCTAGTTTGTTTCTCCTGGGAATCTGTGGGCAAGAGAGATGTGACACACATCTTCCCAGATCCCCTTTCTTCAAGAGGTTTAATGTGTGTGTCCAGAAGCATGCTTGGAGGGATGGGCTGGGGACATTTGTTCACCCCAGCCCCTTTCTTGAGTCCCAGGGGCCCGGGGCCTAGTTCCCAGCCTGCTTCAGTCCTCAGCTATTTTAAGTTTTCAGAGTAATATGAGCCTTTCCTTCCCTTACTACTCCATTCCCTTGACACCACCCCCACCCCACCCTCCAATCCTAGCTCTTGTCCTGGAGTCATAATTTCACTCCTAAAACCCTAACTACTCACAGGCAAGAGAGGAACGAAGACACTGAATAGGCTACAGATTGGGGAATCTGCGGGGAGCAGTTCTGGCAATGGGCAGAGGATGAAGAGGCAACTTACGTTTGGGATTCCCTAAGTCAGTCCACAGTCTGTGGAGGGAAGAGGGAGCCCCTGGGGTCTTGATGGTGGTGCTGGGGGAGGACTGGTCCTCTTCCTTGGGGGCTAAGCCCCCCCAGTACCCTCTGTACTCACACCGGCTACCCAGACGTTATTTGTAGACCTCCCAGTCTCTCGCCTTGGTGTCAGAGCTGAAATGACAGGGCTGGAGGAAAGTGGACAGCTGAGCGACACAGCTGACACAGAGAAATTGGACACGGGGAGGTCTGGGCTGGGCCGGACCCTAATTCCTCCCATCCCCCAGAGCTACTATACCCTGGTTTTTTATCTATGGTGTACAGGTCAGTTCTAGCTAAATTCAAGAAGGGACAGTGTCTGTTCATGCTGCATACTCATTTAGGTGATTTTGGATGACTGAAGGTAAAGATGAAATTGTAAACAGCTTTCCCCAAGGTCCAAACACCTCTCCAATTCTACCTTCCCTGGACCTACTTTAGGAACTAGCTTTTGATTTTTTAGCCATTGTCTTTCCTGCGGCCATGTGTTTTTACACCCTCAAACATTGATCTACCTCTACCTCAAACCTTTAGGAAGGAAAGGGCCAGGAACTGGTGAAGAAAGGAGAGTTTCAGTTCTCAGAGGCTTCCTATCAGCCAGACTAGATTGCATCCTTATCCATGGATAGTTGGAGGGGTACCTCGCTGCCATCCTGAAAGGGAGTGAAGAACATGCATAGTACTGCTTTACTCCCTCCAGTGCCCCCAGGAACATCCCCCCACCCCCTTTCTAAAATCTTGTCCTCAGGGTGAAGGGAAATCTAAGAGCTACTGAAAAAATCCAGGCTGGGACTTCTGTCTGAGGGACTCTGGGGGAGTGTGGGTCTGATGGTCAGGGTAGAGATGGTCCCGTTCCCACTGGACAGAAGACAATAGCTACCACACGGTGGGGGCGGGTTATCTTCTCTAAGTAATGTCGGTCTCCCCACGAGGACTGCAAACTTCTGGAGGTAAGACAGCCATGCCCCACACTTGCGAAATCATTTGGATTTCCTGATTCCATCTCCCTCATCTGATGCCCTGGTATATGAACTTATGGGTCAGTGAGGTATCTGGCATTCTTATCTCGCAGGGATGCAGGCTTCTCCTACTCTGGACTGTGACATGGCTGAAAGAGAAGATACTCCCATCTCGGAGGACAGCCATTTGGATGTGGTCATGTAGTGCTGCTTTATCCCTTGTATCTGTAAGAAGTAAAGGATTACATTGGAGGTTGGGTCAGACAAGCCTCAGAGGAGCCTGGCTAGAGATACTGCTACCCAAACCCAAGAGATTTCCAGGGTCATGTGCTTTGTCATTTCTGTCACTACTCTTTTTCTTTCTTTAAGGGGTGGGTGAGATTGAATAGGGGCTGCTGGATGGCTCTTAATGGCCCTGGTCTGACAGGCTGCACAACAACAGGGCTAGCTTTGAGAAGCTGCAGAGAGAGGAAAAGCTCCGTCCATGCGGGGTAGGGAATGTCTGCTTTTCACCTTTCTTCAGTTGCATAGGACAAGGACTGCTGAGCATGCCTGGATAATACGGCATCTTGGCACTGCAAGTTCAATTGATGTAGCTTTTATTATAAAAACATCCACTTCTGTTCTGCTACGCAACACTCAATGGCTTTTGTATTAAAGACAGGCCCAAGTCCTCCAGCCCTGAAACGTTTTCAGAAGATCAGATTCTGGACACGTATGAGGCCACCATCTCAACCCAGTTTTGGACCTCACTCACCCCTCCCCAGACAGCCGTGAGGACCCTAAATGAGTATCACAGAATTAACATAGTGGAAGGAACCTCAGAGGTAAGCTAGTTAGTCCAAGTCTCTTATTTTACTAATAAGGACTCAGAGGTCTGGAGTTGAGAACGGATGTGTTTGATGAAACCACACTTACTGGGAGTTGGGAGTTGGGAGAGCCCAGAATAAAGGTCCCATTGGAGACCCAGCCACCTGTCCGAATATTATGTCCAAGGAGGAGAATGGGATGAGGGAATAGTGTTAGGAAGGTATGTGTGCATATGCTAGGGAAAGCCATCCCAACCTATATGAGATCCCTCCAACAGCTGTGGGACTGTACCTACCCAGGACCTCCAACCCCCACCCATACCAGGGCAGCAACAGAGAAACAGGGACTGACGTCCAGTGACAGATTTTTTTTTTTTATATTTAAAAACAAAATCAACCTCCCCCCAAGTAACCCCCCAAACAAACAAAAAATCAGATTAAATAAAATTTACAGTGAATATACCCAGCAAACATCTGTATGTGCAATTAAATACTGTCTGTTACTGCGGCACGAACCTCAAACAAACAATATACAAGTGTTCTGGGAGGTGGGGGGAGGCCCAAGTTTTAACTCTTTGGGGTTTGGGGAGACAAGATGGGGGAAGTGAGAGAAAGGGGAAATCAATTTTGCTTTTCTTAATTCTGTCCATATAAATATATTCATAAAGACCAGAAATGAAAAGGGAGCTTGGGATGGTAAGGAGATTGAATAGGGGAGTGTGGGACCCTCCCAATTCTACCTGACCAAAAAAATATGAAAAAAATTAATTTCATGGTGGGAGAAGAGATAAAAAATGACAGAAGAGGATGGGAAGGAGAGGGAAGCAAGGGGGGCCAACCAGGGGAAAATGAGGGGACCCATGGCAGGGGAGCAAGGAGGAGTCCAGTGCCAGTGTGTCTGTTCCATCTTCATCCCCACTGTCTCAGGCTCCAGTTCAGTGTCTGTCACCTTCCTTTCTGCCTCTGTCTGTGATCTGTCAGGATCCCTCGACCCCCTCCACCCTGCCCCCACCCCTACTGTGCCGGTCCCTTCCCCTCCTCCGTTTATTGGGAGCTGGCTCGCTCCAGGATCCTCAGGTCATAGTTCTTTTTGGCCACTCGAAGTTTGAAGCGACTCACAGAGTTGTTGAGGCGAAGAGAGGCATTCTGGGCAGCCAGGGGGCTGGGAAACACAGCCACGATGGTGTACAAGGCAGCGAGGTCCGCGTGGCGGCCATTCTCAGCAGTCCCACTGTTGTCCCCCCCGCCCCCGCCAGGCAGCCCCTGAGCATCTTTGAGCCATTGGATCTTGGCGCCAGACATGGCAAGCTGAGTGAAGAGTTTGTCCGCCTCGGTCCGAGTGATGCCCTCAGGGAGATCTGTCACCTCCAGCACCCGGCCCAGGACTGGAAGGGGGAGGAGAGAGGACATCGTTGTGAGAAGAGTAGCAAGCAGGCAGCAGAGAAGTCTGCAGCTGACCCAAGTCTATAGACGGCGTCCTCAAAAGCCTGGCCTTGCCCACTTGGCCCATTCCTCCTTCCCCAAATCAATGCAACACCCCACCATCTAGGCAGCTAGGAGAAACAAAAAAACCTTTTTCTTCTCTTAGACTAAGAAGAAACTGGGGGTCAGAATCCCAGATTTCTTCAGATCTGGAGACCTACACCTCAGTTCTTGTGCCAAGTCAGTAGCCCAATCTGAAATATATCCCACAGTCGTCCCCTTCCCAGAGATCCCTCTTCCTTCTCATCTAGGGAAGTCCATTTCCCTGCCTTTCCTTGTTTAGCAAACCACTCCAAGTAAGGGTAATGCTTAGTGGGGAAGGCCTGCAGGGGGGTTACTCCCCCATATTCTCTTGTCAAGCTTCTCTTAAAGGACTAGGAAGACTACCAAGGCAGACATCCTAGATTAGGGTCAGGACCACTCTCATAAGACTCTCCTGTTAACAGGCTCAGCATCCCCCGCCACTGTGTTATACTCAGTTTTTCCCATCACCTTTCCCAGGACCTGAAATGGCCTGATAAGGAGGACTGAGATGCTTCAATTCTCAGTTTCTCCTTGCTCTTGAGTACAGAAGGGTCCTATTTCTACTCCCCACCCTAAGCTGGCTTTTCTCACTCCTCCTGGGCTGGTAATGCAGGCTGGAGGGGTGAGCACCTTCTCTTGGGGATTCAGCATTTTGTCACTCACCGACATCTGTTGTCCCCAGGTCAGTGGAGGCAGATTTGAGTGCTTGTCTCTTGCTCCGGTTTCCATGCTTCAATCCACTCTGTCCCTTCAACATTTGAAAGATAACTCTCATCCCAGGTAAACAACATTGACTGCCTTGCATCCTAATGTCTGTCTGAAAGATTAAGGAGCAGCACCCAACCCTGAGGATCCTGCCCCACCAGGCAGGCAGACTAGCCAGAGTGGCCACTGAGAAACAGAGTCCTTCCCCCTTGGCACTGGGGTCAGGTGGGAAGAATGAGTATGGTAGAAGGGTAAGGCCCCTCCCACTTTATTCATTCTCACTGTGCTATCTCCCCGGTCCACCCCACTGGTTGAGGTGGATGGCTCAGAGCTAGGGGCCTGGATGAGAAGAGGGGTCTGTTGGTGGACACCCTTACCTGGTGTACCGTGTAAGTCGACTGGCCATGGAGCAAGGGAGGGCAGATAGACAGATTATACTGTAATGGCTGGCCCAAGAGGGAGTAGCGCCCATCACCTAGGGAGGAAAAACAGATGGTTTTCTGGGAGTTAGAACTTCATGATATGACTTTTATGGGGGCTCTGGAGATAGATGACAACAATGCATACTTTTCCCACTTTTTCTATGATAGGAGTGCCCATGTGCCTGACTGAAAAGTTGTCTCTCTTCCTAAACTCCTTGGCTCTCAGCCTAGGTATCTCAGGCAAATGGGGCTTTTAGGTTCCCTCACCCTTGAAGAAGGGCTCTGTCCACTGCAGATGAAAGGCCCTGGAGGAAACCTACAGACCCTTATAAATGTTTTTCATTCATTCATTCATTTATTCATTTCCTTCCTTCCTTCCCTCCCTTCCTCCCTCTCTCTCTTTCTTTCTTTTTAAGTAATCTCTATGCCCAACATGGAGCTTGAGCTCACAACCCTGAGATCAAGAGTCACATGCTTTACCGACTGAGCCAGCCTGGTTCCCCTAATTTCTTACATAGATTATCCGACCCCAAACCCAGGGCTCAAGTTTCTAACTCCTGTTGAGTGGCAATACAGTGAGTGGGTAAGAGCACAGGCTTAGAGCCAAACCGCCGAGGTTCAAATCCCGGCTCTGTTACTGGAAATGAGAGGTTGGGTACATTTTCCCTTCATCAGTGTTGAAGGTTGAGTGAATACAAGACACAGAAAGCACTTATAGTAATGCTTTGTACACAGTAAGCACCATAAATGTTACTTTATTGTTGATAAATGTTAGATTTCAGAGCACTTTAGTTTTTAAACCATATTCTCATCTGATTTTTAATACTGCTTGTGACAGCCAAGGCAGAAACAGATAATATTATTTCCATCTTATATGTGATTAATCCCATTTTATAGATTTGGAAACTGAGGCCTTGTTCCAAGGTTAAGTAACATGCTCAACATCACAAAGCTAATTAGTGGTAGAACATGAACTTTAACCCAAGTCTTTCAACCCAACTCCACTGTCCTCTCTTCTAAAACCACACTGTTTCTGACACAGCCCCATAGTCTCAGCCCTCAGACTCAGTACTGATGAGTTAAACTCTTAGGTTCGTTAGAAAGTTTCTTTCCTGGGCTCACAGTCCCCTACCTTGTAGACTTGGTAGTAAATACTAAAAATGTAAAGGAGGTCTGCAGTAAGCTGACTATGGGCAGCACTAAAGAG